TTTTAAGACTAAGTGGGTAATACAGGGTTTTATTAATATCTTCTTCCAATATAAGCAAATTAGTTGTATTATCAAAGGCAATCGAGAAACAGATAATCAAAAGGAAATTGCTAATGACCATTTTGTCACTATTGGCGCCAGTATTATTTGTGAATAAAAAAATTAGTTCAATATTGAAAGATCCAATAGTATTGAAAGGTCTGAAGAGGTTAGAAATGATTATCAACACAGAGCTTACAAATGAGAATGAGATCGAGAAAATTATTTTGTAGTACCAGTACTTAGTACCAGGCGGTGATGAGGTTACAGTCGGAGACATATTTAACTTAAAAGAAAATATGATACATATTTTAACTAAGCTAAGAAATAATGCGATTTCCACAGGCAGTTTTCCAAATAGTTTCCTTAAAGTTTCCTTTAAGTGCCACTGTGGATCTTGTCAATCATGTTTCAAAAGCATTAGATGACTAATGTACTGTTCATAGATCTGACAAAGGCTGGTGTTCGTGTTGATATTTTATTACAAAATTGGAAAACCTAGGAATTACTGCAACTATGCTTAATTTAATTAAAATTTTTATTGGAGGTAAAAATCAATTTGTCAAACTTAAAAATATTAATGAATATTAATATTAATTCCTCGGGAGTTCCGCAGGGTTCAGTTTTTGTTGTACTCTATATGTTTTAAACTTTAAACTGGTCCATTTCAAAGCATGCTATTTTATCTTCGCAGATGATACTGCTTTAGCTTACACAGGTGCATACGAAAATGTTCTGTATGAATTGGTGGTATGGTAATAAATTTAAAATTAATATAAATAAAACAAAATTTATGATATTTAAACAAAAAGACAAACAAATAAGAAATGAAAAAATAAATATCAATAATACACCTCAAGAGCAAGTAAATAAGGTTAGATAATTAGGGTTAACTGTGGATGACAAATTAAACTGGAATGATCATGTAAATACTATAGATAATAATTTCTACGGTCGCTGCAATATTTATATCTAGACATTATTTATCTAAATGAACTACGGAGGACATAATCTTCATTGATTTTTATATATCTCGCTTTGTATATTTACTTGCTATATGGGGAACTTGTATCAAAACCAATTTTCAAAGGATGCAAGTGTTACAAAATAAATCAGTAAAAATATTATATGATTATAATAGACTAACACAACTAGGTTATACAAAGAACTAAATATCTTTAAGTTGAATTCAGTGCAAATCGAACGATGTAAATTAATTTTCAAAGTTCTAAATAATGAACAAAAGGTTTGCTTAAAAAAAAATATATCATTGGAATTTATAACCTTTAATATGTTCACCCTGTTTAATGAGCACGCTTCTTTCAAGCACAAATAAATAAAGTATAAACGAAAAGTGAGGTTATGATGGGATAACGGTAGCGGTAACCTCTTATAAACATTTGGTCAATGTAACCTTCATATGAAAAACTTACGTGAAAAATTGATGGGTTTTCAGGATTTTTGAAATAGTTAATCGAAGCGTAACCGTTACAATTTTAAAACAATAAAGGTTTACGTCGTGAGTTTGCTAACGTGAATTTAATTTATTAAAAGTACTTACCCACGTCGAACGGGTCAACATATCAACACTACAGTCTACGTTTACTGACAAATCGAAAGCGAAAACAACGCCAAGTCTCAAATATCCGTTAGGTGTGCACCCTACGCTGCCTTTTGTTGTGCGTATCAGCCAGAAAAACATCAATTAAGTGTAACGCCGTCATGTCCGCACATATTCACTTGCTAGCGGGTCTTAATTGCCAATAACTTTAGAAGTGAGCGTCGCGCTGTTGTGTTGTGCCTTTACGAATAAAAAAATGCGACGAAATTTATTCTAGACATCTATTAAAGGCAGGCGCGAAATAAAAAAAAAGTACATTGACCATCGGACCAAGCCAGATTTACTTATACAGCAAATTCACTTTTCGCGCAAATGGTGATATTATTGATTCACTTTGGGATCTAACTGAACTGAATACTACGCTTATATAGTGTGACCAATATAAGGATGAGACAGCATGGGGATGTAGGATATACACGGCTGCTTAAATTTTTCTTGTTTTAAATAGTTTTATGAGAAACTTAAATCTGTCAGCGTGAATAATTTCTGAGAATTTCGAGAAAATATAAAGAAATTTTTTTGCGAAGAATAAGATTACCAGAAGTTAAGCAGAGTTTTTTAATTGTTTTTGAAATACACCCAAATTACATTTGCGTTACATTTTGCACCATAGTAATACTCTGGAAGACTGGTTGCCAATTTATTGAAGTATGGCTCATTTCAAAAACCAACAAATAATGCATTTCTAGTTATAATCGGAGATCATGGCTTCGAAGCATAGAACAAATAGGACATTTTGTAAAAAGACGTGGACCGAGGGACAACATAATAGGCCAATAAAATTAAGACGGAAAAATCAGTTTTTGAGGAATTAATTTCCAGCAAGCTGGAAATCGTCTTAAAACCTCTGTTTGGTCCTAAATGTGTGTAATCTGAGTTTGTACGACTCCAGGTGGTGAGGCTTCACTTTTAGTTGCCGAAAAACCGTTAAATTTGCACTTTTTTTAGTTTTTTGCTTGTACCTGGAGGTGCGTCAGATGGAAAATACAGAGGAGTAAATTCTGCGACTCACATTCAAAAAATAAAATTCGGTTTAGTGGTATACCAAATATTAAATGTTAAAAACGAAAAAAAAATCGTGTTTTGGTCCAACCTTACATCATCCGGGCTTCCTGAACGACATATGTTGAAAATCGATACTGGTATGAAAAAATCCATTTAACAACAACATTTAACAACAGCACTTCTTATTACTTTGCAATGTTAAAGGAATATGCATAACTTGAGTAGAAATTCGAGTAGTACAAATGAAAATCAGTATTAAGTTTATCAAAGTTCTGTATTACTATTAAGTCGTTAGTAGGTATTATTATTATTATTATTAATTTCCTAATAACCAATTTAATCATAGCTAGTTTAAGTGCAATGAAGTAAGAAAACAATTAAATTTTATTTGTGAAAATTCAAATATAAAGATGATATACATTAATAGATATGCAGCATAAAATCATTTGGTCTAGTATACCAGCCGTATACATTTGTTGGAAGTAGAGAAACCAGCTCGAAAATTGGCTTTATTAGTAATCTTGAAAATGTCTCATAGCGGATTTGGTCCAAAGAGGTTGCCTGAAGTGAATATAGTGCTACCAAGAACCGTTGATCTGCTGAAATGATAACCTCAGGATCTGGATCTTAAAGCTTTGACAAACTTTAAGTTCCTTTGGCGATAAAATGCAGAGGTTGTATCACATCCACATATTGCATGTAGGAACAGATTATTCTATTTGACAACGGACGAGAAGTTGAAGTACTTGAAAGAGTAGAAGGTGGTCTGAGAGGTTTCTTTTCCAGGTTTCATGACGTAAAATGTGGATGAATTTGGGGTTTTTGCGGTTAATAGAATCACTAAATCGGTTTAATCCGCGATTATGATGACCATCGCAAAGTTGCCTGTCAACTGAATGCCACTGTTGACAATAAAGTATCAGCACATCCTCTTTTTTTTTTCGTTTTCAACATTCGATTTCGACTATGTTGCTCGGTTGACATGAATTTAGGATCAAATAAAGGATTAAAATGATTTCTAGTTTGCCGTAGTAGTAGTTGTTGAACAATTCCTCAAAATGTATTAATTTGATTGGTCTATAAGGCGAAGTGTGAATGGCACAACACAAAATAGCAAGGAGACGAAAAATTTGTTAATAAAACATTATTTCTGTTAAAAGTATGGTAAATAACAGCGGGATGCATATTATTTATAAATACAAAATTTAGGGATAATTGTGTATCAACATGATTTTCTTTCAGAGGAAAAATTACGTCAGCTAGTTTAGAATTTCAATTTAGACGATGTTAGGTATGATTTGAAAATATGGCCGTTTGTCTGAAAATCTTCTGTAATTGATTGATTGATGTAAATATTACTATAAAAATATGAATTAATATGTATTAATTATTGAATTTAATTTCATAAATTTCAATTATTATTTGGTTACTAATTCCAATGTAATTAGTATATAAAGAAATTTTGTTCTAAATTTGTTGCGTTATTGACTGTTTTTCTGAATAAACAATAGATTTAATATGATTGTCGAGAGCCTTCGTGGCCTACTATAAAAAATAAACTTGAAATTTTGCTTTTGTAAACCTAAGAAGATGAATGATAATCAATGCGTCATGTGTTACATCACTTAAAAACATTATTTATGCTCTATCTAATAATGAAAATTTTCGATATGGCGCTGATGAGAACATAACAATAAATATAAATAAATAAACAATAAATACTTTATTACATAAGTTAAATTGCTGACTCAAATTGAAAAATTGAGAACGGATAGGCTGTGTAATAAAAATAAACACATTCACTTTGACATTAGCGTTTAATTTTTTTAATTATTTTAATTTAATAAATTTTAATTAATTTAATTTAATAAATTTTAATTAATATCAGTAAATGAGGTTCTAATTTTCATAATACCTTTAAATTTAACCTTTAAAGATTTTTTTTTACTTGCTTTTTTTTTGTACATGCATTTTATATAATGTATTGTTATTTAAAATATTAATTTTTCAAGGAAACCTTCACAAGTTATTGTAATACTTTTTACAAAACTCCTGGATTCAAGCAACTTGACTCCTTGACAGTGAAGCTTTAAAGAAGCCAACAGGATCATTTTCGAAACTTGAGGTAGTTCGACTCAACAAAAACCGACGCCTGAGGAATCCAGGAGTCTTGTAAAAAGTATTTATAATATTAATATATAATTTATTGAAATGAAGACTGTGAATTAAACATATAACCATTAGATAATATCGTGTCCCACAACGGTGAAAATTCATACGCCACATTTGACAGTGACATTTTCGTAGAGAATGCCTTTACATTTCTTCCACTAACCTGAATTTGCGCCATTTTCTTTCTTAACAGCGATTTCCACAAACTCGTTTTCCTAACATATTTAACGAGGCAAGAATGCCGCATCTAAACTTATTTCCGATCTGTCAGGGGTCATATTGGTAAGTTTCTCAAAATTTGTGTTATAGTTCCTTAGCAGGTTTCTGCATTACCGGCATGCGCAGCGCCTCTATATCCATCTCTAATAGCTATAATATATAATATAAGCTGATTATTAAACCTGTTGCATAATTTAGTATTTCCGGTTGACTTCCGTATTATGCACTTGCGTTCCATTTTCCGGTTTTATTAGATCCGTCATTGTGAGAAAAAATAAACACCGATCATTTGGTTGATTTTTTCAGGCGAATTAATCAGCGACGATGGAAGCAATTGCGATATAGTCGCCATAAAAGTTTTAAAGGATTCTGCTAGCAAAGAAAACGAAGAAGATTTTTTCAGAGAGGTTGAAATCATGAGCGCTTTTCGACATCCAAACATCCTCTCGCTTTTGGGTGTTGTATTAAGAGGTTAGTAAATAGATGTAACTATTAAAATTTTGTTGTTATAGACTTATAGAGGGTAAATCTAAAATGTCGATTCATGACAGGCTATCGGAACTTTCATTATGCCATTTTTGATTTTCGCGCCCGGTTTCTAAAGTACACAGCGATGAACTTAATTTTAAAAAAATAGCATTTTAAGTTTCGTTACATGATGTGGATAATCTTCTGGTTTATTTATGAAGAAAAATATTTAGTTATATTTTTCTGAATTAGGAAAGTACAAATATGAAAAAACTGGCACGAATAATTTAACTTTAAAGCTTATGTTTGTAATTAGTTGCTAAGAGATTTATTTATTTTTTGGTTTATTTTTGAAACTGTTATTATATGAAAGTGGATTTGATTTTAATTTAGATTATGTTATTAAATTGAAGTATAACTTACGTAAATCCCTAATATCTTTTCGGTCATGTGTTCAGTCGTAATAGGAAAAACCTATTTCTGAACTAGATAGAGCAAAGGCTCGACTTTTTATAAACATTTACGAACCGAGATATAGACCCTTTTGAAAATTGCCCATAACTTTTATATTTATGAAAATGGGCGAATCAGATTTTTTCTATAGTTCTTCGTTTTCCCATAAATGAATATAACTTTCCCATTTTATATCATCATAGTTGGACATAGTGTTGAAAAAATGTCCGCGTCGAGCCCTTGTTAGCCATACAGATTTGTTGGTATATGTAATGAAAAAGGCCGGAAATAAAGGTAATTTTTATTAATGTTTTAGTAGGCTTATTCTTTATTGAATTTTGTGTTCTGTCACATATATTTTTAGTGGCCAAACTGAAGCTATTAGTTCATTTATCAATTTAAAACCTACCAAAATTAAGAAAAGTGTGATATGTTAAAGGGTTATATTTTGTGGAATGAAAATGCAAAGGCAGCCAATGAACTTTATTTCATACAGATTAGCGAATTTTTCGGACATTAAAAAATAATTTAACCAATTACCGAAGTTTCAAAAAGCCAGGGCAAAGTCAGAACTACATAAATGAAGAACAGAAAATCCGGGAATTGAATATAATTGGAGAAGTATTGGAAACTCCAATCATGTTCTCGCTGGCACTAGCTGAAGCAACAGTTGGAAAAACTAAAGTAATTCAAGTCATATTGTACCATAAAAGTCCAAAAATTACATGAACGGGATGCAACTGATTTATCGGAAAATGCAAAGAGAACATTCATTTTCCACTGTCTATTGTTTGGAGTGATGAAGAGAATTGACTATTCCGGAATATTTAGCAGATACAGTTCTTATCGCTATAACACAAAAAATCCTTATTCAAGGCAAGGCAAGGCAAGGTCACTTTGAATTCAATGTATGGGTAGAAAGTTCTCGAGGTAGATTTGTGGGACCTTATTTTTTAAATGAAAATCTGACAGCGGACGGTTATATAAATATTTTGCGAACATATTTTGTTCCATTTTTGGAAGGCTTGCCATTAATTTTAATTAATTCAAGTGAACTTTTAGCTTGGATAATGCTGTTCCATCAATCCTATAGAGTAATTGAATAGTAGCCATTCAGTACGAAAAAGGTGCGTTCAGTGTATTGAAGAGGGTGGCGCCCAATTTGAACATTTACGTTAAAATATTTCAATATAATTGATGTAAAAGTTTAAATTTTAATATTTTGTAGTCCAATATTTCTTTGGTTTTGTTTAAAATAACTATAATTTTGTTTTGTAAATAATTAAAGCTATTAATATTAAATATTAAAAATAATATCTAAAACAAAAATTTAAATATTAAATGCTTCTTAGGTTTCGTGTTTTTCACTTAAGTTATTTTAAATTGACCTTATTTTTTTAAAAGTTCCAGTGTTTATTAAATTATATTAAAGATTTCTAGGTGACGTCATTTTGAACATACTATGCACGAACTACTAGTACATAAACAAAAAATTCCCTTTTTGCCGCATAAAATACGAAAGTTGTATTCATTTACCTGAAAACGGACAAGTGTAGAAAATATCTGAGTACGCCACTACAGCCTTAAAAAATGCCTTAATAATATTTTAATCTGAATTCAACATTTTCATAAATAAAAAAGTTATGGGCAATTTTCAAAAGGCCCGAAAATTAAAAAAACTCCCTATATATCGGTTGGTAGTGAAGACATCGCCATGCGGATTTAACAATTAAATGTTTCTCAAAAATGGGACCCTTGACATGCAAGTCGGGGCTATATTATCCGAATCCAACATTTTCATGAATGTAAAAGTTATGTCCAATTTTCAAAAGATCCGAAAATTGCGGTTTTAAGCACTCAATGATTCTCAAAAATCGAACCCTTGATATTTAAGTTAATTGTGTTCTATCAAGTTCACAAATAGATTTTTCCTTTTAATTCACTCCACTTATAACCACCCTTTCTTCATTGTGATTTTGTTTTAAAATTTTAATTGCTTTTGCAATTTCGGAACAATATTAAGCAAAAATTATACTAGTCAACAAATTTAATTTTGGAGGCTACTGCCAAGTATACACAAAAACTCAAGAATATTGTTGTAATTAAAATTAAAATTTAAAAACTTGTTATTTACTAATTCATTTTTTAACTTCCAGTGTATTAATTAATTAAAATAATGACTTTTTCATGGCAAACTGAATAAAATGTTTTACTGTATTTAGTAATATTTCGAAAATTAAAACATCCATAAAGTTTTTGATCTTCATAAATAACCAAGCGATAAGAGATAATGAAAACTGGCATATTTAGAGAACTAGAAGTAGCAGTTCGCGTTAGATTCGGATTTCACCATTAAATAAAATACTTAACAGAGAACGGAACTGGTAGCTCACTTATTTTGGATCTATGACCCTTTAGCTTATATCTTATGATATTCACGCAAAAAAAAAACACTATACGATATCCCAAAAAGTACAGAAGAGAGGAAAAAATGTGTAAAAGCAGAGGTTTATTAAATGAGATAAATCCTAATATGAAAAGTGTAACCTGACAGCACAATTTATACAAACCACGTTTGAACAAGACATATCGGGTGTCCTAGTTATCCCAAATTTAAAGCTAGTTTATTGTTATGACATTTAAAACCAAAATAAAGATTTATTATTTATGTTCATTGCTTTTTTGCCTTCCGAAGTACTCCCCAGCTGATAAAATGTGTTAATTTTGATATAATTACCCTTTTTCAAATAACTAGTATTATCGTTTATTTTTTCATTATACATTGGTGACTAACTATTTTTATTAACTATCAACGTATTTAAGTGGCAAAATATGGATAAACCATTTAACAAATATGGTTTTTCAACATTTAATTAACACGGTTAGCCATCAACAATTATTAATGAAACCTAAAATGGACAATGACATAAAAAACAAGGAATGTCAGCTACTTTGCAGTTTTGTGTAATAATGAATAAACAAATGTATATTGACTTTAAATGGTAGCCATTTGAGGAACTTGAAAATAATTTCTGAAAATTTTCTGAATATGGTTTCGAAAGTATGTTATTGAAGATACACGGTATCAAACTATAACAAATGGATTTTTTATTTAGTGATTTTGTTGAAATTTGGTAGTTTATCGGGAGGCAACCTATCGAATAATTTTGAGAAAAAAATGGGCACCACTGACTTTTGACCGATTCAATTTCTTTTCAAATTAAGCAACTAAAACTACAGCTTTTTATCTCCTAAATTTCTTTTGCACCTTGCTTCATTTTGGATGAAAATAAAGACCAATTTATTGCATGTCCCAAATTATAATCGATTTTTTTCCACAAGCTACTGTAATACTATTTACAACTCTTCTGAAATCCTCCTGCATCGGTTGTTGATGAATCGAACTTATCGACAGTTTCGGCAGTCATGCTGTCGGCATCTTCAGAGCTTATAGTCTAAGATCCGAGCTAAGATCGACCTTCGCCAGTGTCAACTGAATAAAAATGACATTTTATCCAAAAAAAATAAGTTTCTGAACTTGACTTGATATGGCAACCTTAACTGAAAAAAAGTGTTCAAGATAAGTTTTAATTAACATTTAAAAAATTGCATTTTTTTAAAAATTTCGCCAGTGTTTACCAAACGAAACTAATTCCAGTGACAATAGTCGATTACCTTTTTTTGATGCCTAGCTGCGGTTTAACAGGTAAGTTGATGTTAATAGTTGCACTCTTTTGTCAACTAATGCGTATTAGTAATTTAATCATAAATATTGTAGTATAAGGTTGCCTCAAGAATTAGAGAATTCGGAGCGAGCGAAAATCTAAGACAGGGAGACACGGCACGTATTTACTCCTCATCGTAGAAAAGGATAAAATGCTGCGGCGCACAGACGCCATCACTTGTTAGAGAGTACACACGTTCCTCACGCTTAGTAAAAACAAGGAAAAATTAATTTACTACAGAGCAGTGTTTTTAATACATACATTCCATTTGTAAACACGTTGTATATTGTTTCCCAAATTGAAAATGAAGAAGAAACTGTTTTAAGAAAAATTTGCAATGCATTTGTTAAAAATCCTGAAGTGAGTATGTTATTCTTTTTTTTTTATTTACATCAGAAAATTTTTTCCCCACCATTTTTGCTTTTATGAAGTATCTCAGATATTTCAACTAAATCGAAAATTGATGATTATTTGAAGCAGACCAGATGCCTTTAAAAATAGATGATATTTTAGAGATGAAAAAAAAAATGAAGACAATTCTTCTGACGTGATGATGATGATATAACTTTCGGCGATTCTGATCTTGAATAATTTATTACTGTTATTTGTATGATCACTTATTGTACCATATTATAAATATTGTTTCTGCTAGATTTGGATGAATATTTTTTTAAGAATATATTATTCTTTTATTTATTCTAAAGCGTTTATCTCTACTACTTTTACCTAGGCCAAGTTTTTCACAAGCTAATCATCTTATCTACTCCAAAACACTGCTCTATAGTTAATTAATTATATCCATTGTATTCTTTTCTACGATGAGAAGTAGGTAAATATGTGCAATCTTTCTTTGTCTTGAACTTCGCTTTCTCCAAATTTTCTAATTTAAATGTCTTACAACCATTACAACCATTGTTTATAATTAAATTACTTTTATTTTAAGGATAGTCCGCATTGGTTGACAAAAGAGTGCAATTATTATCATCAACTCACCTGTTTGACCGCAGCTATCAGTATGGTTTACGAACGAGGCAGGATTTACGTGCGTAGGGACCGACGAAAATACCCATGAGATTTTTGAATAGTTATTGTGGTAGCATAACATAATCATAATAATTTACAGGCAATTAGATAAAAGTACTTCTAAAAATTTATTGTAATCTCCTATCATTTTTAATGTTTGAATGCAAATTTTTAGATGATTCTCTTTTAGATTCCACACGGTGACCCAATTCTGCGGTATCGACATCAACTTCGGAAATTTAAATGGGACACCCTATATTTTATTGTGTTTTTTGATTTAGTGGTAAAAAGGGAGGTAGCTTTCACAACTACATTAATAACTAGGCACCTGCAATAAATTGATCTTATTTTTTTTTCTCGAAACAAGATAAGCAAAATATTCCATAGATAAAAAAGTATAAATAAAATAAAATGGGTAATAATTCAGTTACGAATATTTCTTGTCAAAAATATTCGATAGGGTGCCTCTAACACTACCAAATGTCAAAAAGTCGATAAATGGATGTTTCAGATAATTAATAAAAACTCATTTGCAACAAAAAAAGAGTTTGACACTCTATATCTTGAGAATTATTCATTTTCGATTCCATGTTCATACGACATTCTTTCATTTCACCTTTTAAATTATTCGTAAATTATTTCCGAACACCCTGTATACTGGATGCTTCAGTAAGGGAGATCAAATACGATATTAGCCAAATTAAAATTAGAGAAGAAAGAATAAAAAAAAATATTAATGTTAATTATTTTCGAGTTTCTTAAATGGTCACTAGAGGCGTAATCGTTGTCTTAAAATTTAAAACTTCAAATCTTTTTTATTGAATACTTTTTGCTCTCTCCGCAAGGAAAGCATTCGAATATTTTTATTAGAACATATTTTTAAATAACTGTCCATATCTCCAAAAAAGTTTAACGCATTTTAATATACTTGAGTGGTTAAAAAGGGATTTCTTTAAGCTATGTTTGGCGCTATGAGTAACGCGATTACTTATCTTGCCAAAATGTTGATTTTTCGGACATATTCGAAAACAAAATTGCAATTCCGTTACTTATGAAACTAAACATAGCCTCGGAAAAGAACACACCCCAGCACTTACCTTGCAGAGACGGAAAATGAATTTGTCTCAGATTTAGAATAGTACCCATCTAACTTAACTTTAATCATTCTTAGAAGGGGCTGTTGGCCCAATGATGGTGTTTGAGTACATGAAACACGGAGACTTGGCAGAAGTGCTTCGCGTACAGCGTCGCCTCTCGACAGGCTGCTATGGTGAAGATTATACGGAACATCCACCGCTACTATATCCTTCTGATCTATTAAACATAGCTCTTCAGGTCGCGAAAGGTATGGAATATCTCGCCGCGCAGAGGTTCGTCCACAGAGACTTGGCCTGTAGGAATTGTCTAGTAGCTGAGGGATCGACAGTGAAAATTGCGGACTTTGGAATGAGCCGTGACGTATACACTTGTGATTACTATAAGGTAGGTTTCCAGGGCCATTTATCTGTAAAAACACTTAACTTGGGTCAACTTTACCGCGATATTTAAAAAATATTCAATAATCCGATTATTTATGGAACTTTACATTTAAATTATACTCTGTACCTGCTCATATGCTCTTTGTGGGGGCTAAAGAGCTAAAGGACAGACATGAACATTGTCTCGGATAATTGATGAAAGATAAGATTGTTTAGTTGTTTTGAGATTTCTATGGATGGTCGGATTTTTCTTTAGTAAAATAATTTATTAAGAATTAAGTAAGAATTTCAGTTTGGTCGAATAAGACTTGATGTCCGGTTTCATTATTGTATTCGGCAACTGCCTAATGGTCTTTTATGTTTTTTTAGCATAGTTGATATTTTTCGTCTTGTTTCTCCAACTTATTTTTTGCCGCATATGCATGCAAACAGTGCATAAACAGGTACAGGGTAGAATGCAAACGAGTTTTAGTTAAGCTCGGATGAAGTTAACAACCCATGCAGGAGGATTTCAAAAGATGCGTAAATACTAATCTAATATATTACACAATAATTGACAATATGCATATCATTAAAACTCGCAATTAAAGAGTAAAAGCAGGGGTACCGAGTATGGCTGTGTTACTGCTGACAATCGAAATAGTAAATGAAATAGAAAATTTGTATTAAGCCTTGTGTACTATGTTATTCCATAGTATCCAAAGCCGATGATTCTCTGGTCCCGCACTCGCCTTATATACGTGCCTCAACCATTGGTTGGTTGTCAGTCGTTCTGTGATAAGTTCGTTATTTTAATATGCCGGCATAATCTGTGTAATAATAAGTTTAATGTTGCTTGTCTTGATTGAACGTTTTCTCATAATCTGCAGTTGTTCTCAAAAAGTAAATATTCATGGGCTAATGCTTGATTTTCCAATAAAAAGCCAATATTTTACCGAGCACTTAGATCCCGTATTTGCTCTGTCTACAATTTTAGGCGATCCCGTAGTTACTTTGTCTTTGTATTGTTACCAGTAGCCCGTTACTGCCCTTTGACTTGTGTAAATTATCTGGTACAGCTGCTTTCCTATTCTTTATCTTTTCAACTGACGCTTTCTATTCAGTGCTAAAGAGACTGTCTTCTTTATCGTCCTCAAAACACCGCTTTGCTTATCTCTTCCATTGCCCTTTTATCGGTTCCTTATTAAAAGGTTTGTTGTCCTGGTCGTCTATTATATTAGCGGTTCTATTAGGTTTCCTCAGTTTCAAGTAAAAAGAATAATTGCTACTTTACGAAAACTCTATTTCCATACACTCGTCTTCCACCGATTTGTTTTTAGCTTTTCGAATGGTTTTCTTTATGTTTCTGTCTATGTTTTTAAGTTTCTTCATCTTTTACTCTATACTGATTTGTTGTACCTTCCTTTGTTGTCGAAGTTCGTTCTTGAAAATTAATAGTATTTCTGAAGTTGCTGAGTAACGGATTACTAAAAGTGAACTTTCTAAAAATAAGAAAATTAATATTCTCAATGTGTTCAAACCCTTTCGCCGCCACAGCTCAACGTTTGGAGTTTGACAGCCAACAATACACCAACTTGTGCACGAGGATAAACGCGGGCCCATCATGTCACCAAAAAGAAGTACAGGAAGAAACGAAACTATATTACGGACGAAAAGACTGGCATCAGAAGCAATACACCCATTTTACTTAAAAAAATAAATAACTACTTTGGACAAAATAATAAATGAAATGAAAAAGAATGACCTCATTTCGCCCATGGATAAGGCCGTTTTGAAGGAAAAGCTGTTCAAAAGTTGCGTCAATTGCGAATATACCGTTGGTAAAGATGCAGAAGAAAAATTTAAAAACCGAGACATTCGCGAAAGGATGGCCCACTGGAATCAAAACAATCAAATGCTAGATTTTATTCATCCTGGATCTTTCTAGTCATGCCAGCTTGTTGAAAAAAATGATATTAACGATTGGCTTGCTCTAAATAAAAAGCAGTCTCAGAAAAATATGCAGAAAAAGGGGCTGAAGATTGCAAATTTGAATAAAACTTTTTATGGGACATTTTTTGTCGACAAAATCTATTCAAAATTAAAGATAACGGTTCCTTGTCTTTCGTCATTTCACTGTTAAATTAAATGCATAACATCACTTTTAAAATCACGAACCTTAAAAAGGGGGAATAAAGATTTTGAAAAATGAAGTGCGTCGAACATGTGATTGAAATAGAAGAAAGATAGGGGGAATCTGATAACATGCTGGAAAACACTGAAGAGCTCGTTACTATTTGTCTGTACTCCAGTAATATTTATTACAATTTATATATTTTCATTTTATTTTTAATTTTATTTAAGTTTTTATTTACCTTACCTGGGAATAATTAATATCTCAATTGTCTGCCTATCTCCTTAATTATAATGTGTAAAGAAGATGTAACTTTGGTAATTGGGGAATAATGCAAAAATCTGTAGAGGTGCATGTGAAAATATATGGACTTGAAGAATGACCGAATAACCGCAGTCGGCACAAATACATTTTTTAAGCTACCATCGAGACGCCTAAATACTTCGAGATCTCCTCAAGATAACCCATAACACATGTCAGAAATGAGATTGATTGCGTTATGATCACGAAAACATAGAAATACCGTAACAACGGTAAAAATTTACCCAGTTGCTGATCATAATCCGCTAAAGGAGAACAAGGTACAACAAATCATTATAGCCGCGTTTATCCTCGTGCACAAGTTGGTGTAATGTTGAGTTTCAAACTCTAGTCCTATTCGAACAGATTTTTGTAGCTCCAAACGTTGAGTTGTGGCGGCGAAAGGGTTTGAACACATAGAGAATATTAATTTTCTTATTTTTAAAAAGTTCACTTTTAGTAATCCGTTCCTTAGCAACTTCAGAAATACTATTAATTTTCAAGAACGAACTTCGGCAACAAAGGCCGGAAGGTAACTATTATAATTTCAAACACGAAGGCACAGGTAGGTAAGTACCTAGCGATATACTTACGTCTATCTGAATCCTTGATAAACTTCACAACAATCATGGCAACCAATTAGCATCATCTCCAGATCATACTTAGTTGACGTCAAAGTCTCAAATTCTAAATCGTGTTTCAGATGGGCGGTTCCCGACTACTTCCCGTTCGATGGATGTCTCCAGAAAGTGTCGTCTATGGACGTTTTACCCTTGAATCGGATATCTGGTCGTACGGAGTGGTCCTATGGGAGATCTTCAGTTACGGAAAGCAACCATACTACGGTCACAGTAACGACGAAGTAGTCAAGTTAATTTTGGATGGAATCATGTTGATTCCTCCTGACGATTGCCCCTCCGTAATATGCAACATCATGAAAAACTGTTGGAAGACGGAACCGAAACATCGAATACATTTTTCCAATATCAAAACGGAGTTGGAGGCTGCGTATGACGATAAAAACTTAAAATACAAGGTGGGTATTAGGTATGTAGGTATGTAAGTTTTTCGTAATAACTTCAAAACGCCCGTGAAGAAAGTATAGGGGATAATTTGATTTACAGACTGTTCGTAAGAGTAATTTTCATATCAAACGCTGATAATTTTTCCATGTTGTCAATTAAAAATAATCGACGTTATCGATTATCGATTTGTACATTTTTGTACATAGAGCGTTCAATCACAAAATACACATCACCACAACTTCCCAAAGAAAATGAGTTCGAAAGCAATCTCAAGGAAAGATAAAAAAGATAAATATAATGTTAAAACCAAATTTTTCCACTAACCAACCAAAAACATATCAAACATCTTCGATCCGTCAAAGGAAATATTCCGTTTCACACACCAGGCGTTCCATGCATTCCATTGATAGTTTGTATTATAAACTACACTCCAAAAAAACTTCCGTTTGGGGAAAAAATTTGAATTATTTTATTGTTTTTATTTTATTGCTAGAAAGCCAAACACACAAGTGTTTGGTTAAATGCTAAGGGCATGACATATTTGAAAAAAAAAAAATAGATTATTTGCTATACGAAATGTTGTTTTTGGGTGTGTCAACTGCACGGAACTTTTTTGTCGCACGCAACTGCATAAAATTGTATTTCTTCCTATACAATTTGTTCCTTTTACTAACTTTTTCCTTGCTTAATTTTTTTTATACGACGCTTAGCTTTCGAGATATTCCACAAAATTCCGGACAAAGCTCAGCTGCGTTGGATAAATGTTGCTTAAATAGCAGCATGCCTTGAAGAACAAAACACAGTCTAGCGTTAACTTTCTTAGGTGAAAATAAGTTTCATTGTTGTTTGTGACGTTAGTTGTGAAGTTTATTGTGTAGATGCCCAGAACATTTACAAAGACCGAATATGCCGACATTCTGTTAGCACTTCAACGGGCTAACAAAACAAAAACTTAAAAAGAGCTAAATGACAACGAGGAAATAGACTCTTACCGAACCGCTAAAATGGGGGTGGTTAGACTATAATTGTACTACTCGAAAGTTGTTTAAAATTGTGGGGTACGTAATACTTTTGCCCTAGCCACCTACTTGCTGAGGGGTGCCACCCATTTTTCACGAATAAGCGTGAAAAACTGTTTATCACAAAACGATATTAGCTACAAAAAAAGTCTAGGCCATAAGTTAAAGTCCTCAAGGGAAGCAGAACGACCGTAAGTACCCAGTTACATCATGCCGTGCCGGAAGAGGCCACGTGATAGGGAACAAAAAGTGAAATTTGAAGATAATAATTGGTATAACGAGCTTACCGGATTGTTAGTGGCCTGCCTCGCTAGTTACCGGAATTGCTTAAATTCACTTTACATTTAAATCCACAAAACGTGATATCGGCTGAATCAACCTTAAAATATGGGTGCGAAAATCCGATGTATTATATCCGCGCTAGCGATTTAAATCAAAAAGAGCCCTATACGAACTTTTTCTTTTAATACTGAAAATACCAAAAAAAAACAAAACGATTCATTGGTAGAAGAAAAGCATCTATTGATATTCCCCGTAATAATGCATTATGTTTATAGTTTCTGCGACGGAAGTTCGAATGCAGCAGCCTACGCCTATGGTTTCCGCAGAGAAATGTTTCGCACCCGCACACAAATTTTTTGTTAATAATAAGCAAAATTGCATTGGTCGTCAAAGAGATAACAACAGAATTCTTCAAGTCATCAATATTGACAAAACAATGAGTATATCTAAAGCAAAATTACCACGCACACAAGCAAGTTTTGGTACCTGAAAGACAACCCACATTTTGTAGATATATTTCGGAGTCGAAATTAATTAACATTTTCCATGTATGGGATATCTAAAAGCTGAAGTGCATTAGGAAACATTCATTTTAGCACGAGTTGAGTGCAAATGCCAATTTGTTCCATGATTTTCTTGAAAACTTTCTTCTTAAGATTCTTCAAGTGAAGAAAATTTAAAATTGTTTTATTGTAGTTCACCTGGCTTAAATCCTTTGAATTATTAAGTTTGGAGTGAAGTTTATGCAACAGGCAACAGAATGCACCTTAAGAAATGCCATTACAATTCAAACGGCGGTTAATACATTGATTCGTCGGAATAATAAATGCGTTACGTAGGTCTGTTGCTGCGGTATAAGACAAATATTAATATTGCATCTTCGTCGTTCTTGCAATTAAAACCATATCAGTTTTCTAGGATAGTCTTGCGGTGTCCGGAATTTTGTGAAATATCTCGAAAATTATGCAACATATCAAAAAAATTTAAGAACGGAAAAAGGACGGAACGCATCGGAAAAGGTGCGAATTTATCTAGTGGCGTTCGACAAAAAAGTATAGCAATTAATATAAATTTTTCCACGAATATTATGCACCATAAAATAAAAACCAAACTTCGGTGCCATTTTAGCGCCTGCAAGCGGAACAGTTTTTGGGGAATAGTTTACAATACAAACTATTATTATTTCGGTTAGTTCTTTCTATATCTGAAGTTATTCTATTAAAACCTGAATCGCCGTGTGTAAGCAGGTACAGAGTAGTTTCAGTTTCAGTTAAACTTTGAAGAAGTCAATAGGATGATTGGGGGAACGTCATGTAGTTCAATTGATTAACAACCCACTCGGGAGCAATTCAGAGATTTGGAAATATTGTTACAGTCTCCTGTAAAAATTGATAATCAACGTTGGCAAACTAGGTGATTGTGACGGAATTTTTGACAGCAGTAATTTCATCAGTTGTCAACATGGTCTTAACAACCGCAGCCGTAGGTCGAAATTTTGCCTTAATTGGGGATGGCAGTAGTAAAGGTTATGTCTCCCGCACTCTGAGATTCCCTCAAGTTTTAGAGGCGACGCGGCAAACTGATGATTGCTTCGTCATTGTTAGTTCTTTAAGAGGGCTAAAATCTACTGCTGTGTCTCTAGAAAATAAATTGTAAGTCGTACGTCGCGTAAATGTGAGCGGAACAGAAGTATATTTGGAAGATGGCAAAATCAGAGCTTCATTCACAGAGGCCAGCAATATGTCCACAATTACTTATTCGTCATCGATAACAGCGACAGGGATTTGCAAGATTTTATTCTGACTGACCTGTAGAACAATGGAAGAACTGCTTAACGCAAGATATGCCGACTGCGCCATACCATTGCGTTTCAGTCAGTGGAGTTCTAAGATGCTAGACCTCATTTTGTAACTCTTAAAAGAAATGGAATTAGGTATTATTTAAAAATTTAAAGATTTGGAATACATAAATGATAACAGCAAATAGTATGTTAGTATTACTGAGGGAGAAACGTATCCTTGCTTCACCACCATCTAACGGGTTGATTTGTTGGGGGTGTGGACTGTATTATTGCGGGGCTGGTTTATTTTAAATGATAGCCGTTTAACACAACACAAACTATATTCTGTCACAACGCGACGACGTTACAAATTAGTTTATTTGAGTTAATCACAAACACACAATTTGCGTTAAAATAGAGATTAAACTTCCTCGAAAGAAACCATTTGAGAGGCTAGTCCAAAGAGGACACCGACTTATAAGGGAATATATTAATAGTGAAAGGGGTTTAAACGGGGGTTTCGCAATAGGGCGATTTTCACGTTTCTATCGTCAAGGGCGGTCGCGGTCGACTGTTTCGCGCAACGTATGTCTGGAAAACAGGCGCCGTCGGGGCGGTCAGTCACGTCTATGTAGCGTGATCAAGGGAGGCGATAGACGTTGTCACGTCTAACGCAATATCCGCATTTCAGGGTTCGCGAGGGCATTGGGTTATTTTATCAACAATTACAAAAAACCAAATTTTGTTTAATTAATTAAATGGTAAGAAAAATTACATAATTATAAATCAGAAAATTTATCAAAAATTTTAGGGTGATGTCGATATTGGAATGCAAAGTAGAAATTGAAATTTGATTTGTGTATGATTCTAACTGGATGGTGCCCTAGTAGTTCTTTCATCGAATTGTGTTTGGTCTTTAATCACCATACATAGTGGAATTTGTAAACAGTCCGCTATCCCTAAACTCCTTGATAAATTTTTTGCTGGACAGCTATCGTGATCTGTCTCTTGTATAATGTTGCTTGGATAATAATAAAATTAATAATAATAATAATAAATAATAATACTTAGCAGGAGCAGAGTAGTATCGATAGGAGTTCTCGAAGCTTCTCGACAGAGTGAACGTGAACGTGACACGTTAAAAGTTTTGAATCCAGTTTAGCTCAAGTATTTTTTAATTCAGAATATTTGCGATACTGCTTTAGATATTATTCTTTTAAATTGTTCTATTTTAGATTTGGTCAATCTGTTAAATTATATGGTGTCAAGTCCAGTTTTGTTTTTGATGCTTAAAAAAATCGTTAGACGTATATGCAAGAATATTTTAAAACATAGAAACCAATGCCCTTTATTATCTGCCCGGCCGGGTTTTCTGGCGGGTTGGGGGTGGTAAAGACCACAACACAGCGCGGGGTTCTCGCGCACCGGTCACAGAAGAGAGCTTGTTTTTTCGTGTATTACACTACGGCCGCTCACGCAAGTCTGTCTATTCGCGCGGCTTAACCAAGGTTGGGTATAGTGGGGGTGTTGTATACACAGCGCGAAAATAAAAAGTTAACTCAAGGGAAAAAAATTATGAAGTTACCGAAAAATGTTATTCAACCCTTAACATTCCGGCCTCCCAAAAATACCCAATTTTTCCCATAAACTTATCCTATACACTATATACACGGTTGCCCCTTGAACAGGTTAACAGTTAGGGACAAAAGATAATTTGACCAAAGGTCGATCGAAAGTGCCTTTGGCCGTGTGCACTTGCACAACGCGAATTTCCTTGTCGGAACTGGGGTACAAGTGCGTGATGCGGCCCAGAAGCCACTTTAATGGGGGGAGGTTCTCTTCTTTAATTAAAACCAACTGACCAAATTTTGCGGGGTTAGTCGTGGTGGAGGTATTCCCGATGCCATCTGTCCCAGAAGTGCTGATGCAA